GAGGCTGAATGATCAGGGGGCCCCGTGACGAGGGACTCAGTGCCGTATTTCGGTCGATTACGTCCGAGATCGAGACGAGTCTTGCGTAATAGTAAATTCCATCGCGCTCTCGATATATATGTAAATTATATTTCAATAATTATTTATATAATTATATAATATATAATTATTTATGTAATTATATAATATATTAAATAATTATTTATATAATTATATAATATATAATTATTTATGTAATTATATAATATATTAAATAATTATTTATATAATTAATATTTATTACATATAATTAATATCAAATATTCAAGTGCTGTATTTTCTGACAAAAGGGATTTATTTAATACATCAATGAAGATACTCGAAAGATCAATTTTTTTAATATTTCGAGCTCCGTAATATAAAATAATGTTGGATCCTTTGTCTGTATTATCGATTTGATTTATTTCTTACTGCGGTACGTAATTTTATTATTATTTGTTGTGGAAATATTAAAGGGTTTTCTTACTCGTTAAATAAATAAATAAATAAATAAAAATAAATATGTATATAAATTTTAATATAGAAATAATTACAGTTTGATTAATAGCACGAAAGATGACAGATTCAGAAAGATTTAAAAAAAAATCCTAGGGTGATTCCTAATTTTCTTTTAATTATATTATTAAAATATTTTCATAACTAAATTGCTGATAAAAATTTTTATCTATTTAAAATTCGATTCTACGTGTCTGAAATATTTGAAATTAATATATGGAATTAAAGTCACTCTTCAAAAGCCAAATAAAAGGTGTGGCTTGGGTTTAATCGGTCGAAAGGGTTACCCAGTGAGATCCAGTCCACTATTGTTAATCAACACAATTAATAAGGAGTTACACGCCATTGAGTCTAGGATGATTGCCAAATCGGACGAACAAAAAGCGCACGTGTGATGTTGTCACTTTAAATTTATCGCTTCACTACAATATATATTATGTCTCAGTCATTAGTACACGCTCATTAATACAGCGCAATGCCATTGTGCGTGATTTAGCGCAAGGTCCAGAGTTGGTGAGAAATATATCGTCATTCGCGGATGACATTAGAAGCATAACGCGGCATGTTTACGAGAATTGCTGAGCAGTAACTTCCCACGATTACGAAGAAACGTCAGTTGGGTCTTAGACCTCGCGCCTGATATATCGTACCTTAAATAGCTTAGACTGGAAATTGGTTCAATTATGTTAAGTATACTTCCTGTTTATGCTTGGAACTTTTTCACTCATGTTTCATATCTTATTAGCTCAAATAATTTGCATAAACCAAATGAAACGTGTGCAAAATGCATACATTTATTCATATAAATATAGGTTCTTTTCTGCAGATACTTTAATAATAAAATTAATAAAATTTAATATATAATTGACACTTATAAATTCTCCAGTCGCTGCGACTAAATTTTTTTCGGCGATGTCATCGATTATTTCAAATATAGAAGGTGTCTCATAGGAAAATGCTAAAACTAATCAGCTATCATTTTTTTTAATGCATGCAGTTATGCATTAAAAAATGACAACTAGCATAAAAAATTGCGCCTTAAAAAATTACAACTGATTAGTTTTAGTGAAAGAAATCTAATCAGCTGTCATAATCTAATCAACTGTCATTTTTTAATGCATGCAGTTATGCATTAAAAAATTACAACTGATTAGTTTTAACTGTCATAATCTAATCAGCTGTCATTTTTTAATGCATAACTGCACGCATCAAAAAATTACAACTAATTAGTTTTAGCTGTCATAATCTAATCAGCTGTCATTGTTTAATGCATGCAGTTATGCATTAAAAAATGACAGCTGATTAGTTTTGGCTGTCATAATCTAATCAGCTGTCATTTTTTAATGCATAACTGCACGCATTAAAAAATTACAACTGATTAGTTTTAGCTGTCATAATCTAATCAGCTGTCATTTTTTAATGCATGCAGTTATGCATTAAAAAATGACAGCATGTATAACTGCACGCATTAAAAAAATTACAACTGATTAGTTTTAGCTGTCATAATCTAATCAGCTGTCATTTTTTAATGCATAACTGCACGCATTAAAAAATTACAACTGATTAGTTTTAGCTGTCACAATTTAGTCAGCTGTCATTTTTTTATGCATTAAAAAATGACAGCTGATTAGTTTTAGCATTTTCCTATGGGGCCACCCTGTAGACCCTGAGAAAACCGATTGTTCTTTCATACCCTGCGGAGAGAAGGCCCTTCCTTCCCCAAATTTTTCATTATCGCGCCCTTTCATCGAAAACCCGATGGACTCGATGGCAAAGCGAACATCGACGTGATTTCGAGGGCGTTTTCACCTGTCCGCCGCGCCATTGTCCACCGCCGGGATTATTTATAGACGAAGAATGACCAAACACAATTTACATCGGCAGTTACGCGTCGCAAAATAAGCGACGGTGTGGTCCATTGTGCGCTTCATCGTAAACATTGCTTCTCCGTATGCGTGTGTGTGCGATTTCATTGCGTTTCTCTTGTATGCGCAAGGCATACATAGTTATGCGAGCCAATCCTAGTCTCCGATTACCGAGGCGTGAAAAGTAGATCGTGACGATGCGAATTTATTTTATTCTATTTTTTTTTTAGTCGCAAGTGACGAAGGATTCTCTCACATCCTCGCTCTCACATTCTATTTGAAATGTATATTAATATTGTATAATTTTGTATTTTTGCAATAAGAACAGCACATTCTAGCATTACCAGATGTTTTTCCAACCCACCCACGAGATAAAAAAATTTGCAAAACTAATTTGGTTAATTAAAATTTTGTGATAATTAAAAATAAAAGTCAGATTGTCAAAATTAATTGAAACACATGATTACACCAAATTAATTCTGTATACATTCGACGAATTGAGTTATTGCATACAATAGCTCATATTTTATCAATTTAATTCAGTCCACAACAAGTATCAATTTAATATAAATTAGGGCGAATAAACTATAAATGCATACAGAAATTGGAGCTAAAATTTTCACACAACAGACGTCATTTATTTGTGAACTTTAACAAAGACGTATTCAGTTCCGCGTTAGTTCGCGTTCGATACGTCAGCTTCGTCTGCAAAAGCCGGCGAGAATACACAACACATTGTAATTCGTATAAATGGATTCCTAATATCGACATTCAGGACGCGAGTCAAATCGCTCGGACGCGACTATTGTTCGCGCGATCATAAATTCACGCGCGTATTTTCGCAACCAATATCTCTCTCTCTCCACAAAGTTGCACATTTGGGGCATTTTGGAGGTACGTACGTGCTTACGAGGCTCTGCACACGACAGCGCATAAATTCAGAAGTGTCATTTGTCACGTGAAATTGTTACAACAAATGTATACCCTTCCCTATATTTGTAGTTTTTCGATGTTGAGCCCAAGGACAACGCTTCCTCCCAAAAACGCTCGAATTTATTGGTGTACATACAGGACGCACATTGTAACGTAATTGTTACGTTTCGTCTCGTAAATCAAAAAGAGCTTTTATAACAAATCGCTGGAAATGAGGCAGAAAATAAATGGACGCGGATAAAAATATATGAATTACATAAATTGATGTAAATTAATCATATTAATGAACTAAATTCTTCAGTTTATTAAGGAGATGCTGCCGTAGTTCTGTTTTACCGACTTTAAGTTAGGTTAGGTTCACTAGGATTGAAAAATCCTCCACAATGAAAGTAAGAATCTTTCGATACAGGCTTTTAATCTCATTTTTATTACTTCTGTATTATTCTTTCATGTCATCTCTATTGGAAACGCCATATTTTGTGCACAAATAAACTGCAGAACTTTTGTATTAAATAACTATTGTTATGAGCTGATGCAAGAGGTCGATAAAAAAACTGTAATTTTTTTATTTTTATTAATTAAGAGTTTTAACAAGGCTCTGTAATATAAATATAAATTTAAAGATATAAGACAGGCAGTAAGAGCCAACTCGCGGATGACAGTGCGTTATCCTAACGAAACTAAATTTTTTATTTTTGTTTTTTTTGCACGAAATTACAGCGCTCCCCGTTCATTATTATCAGTACTTTAATTGTGGAGAAGGATTTTTTAATTTGTGTAGCCAATAAAAAGAAAAGCCCTTGAACTAAAAAAAGAATATTTTTTAAGCACGATTTTCTCTGACAATAAATGTCCCCATATATGATTAAAAATAATTAAAATAATATACTATTAGGATTGAGGCTTCTTGATGAAACAAGCCGACTTGCATTAAATTATTCAGCTGCCATAAATGGAACATCGAATCGATCCCGTTAGTCTCGGGTTTAGTGATCTGCACTGACAATAAGAAAAGCATCTATAGGAAAGTTCAGATATACTCGCGATGTATGTACGTTTTTTACCCGAGGCAACACTTCGTAAATATTTTATCGTCCTAGTTTACCGATCAATCGCACAAGTTTCTAACCAAAAGTGTCACGTTCATCATATACTCCATGGAAACTGCAATATGCGATTCAAATAAGACTTCGATTCTCAAACGCCGCTTATGACCTCGTTGCACCTACAGTTTACCATATGTACTTCTCAATCCTTATTAATTCATTGCTATTGATCTTTAGATATTGATCCTTAAATAGCATTATAAATAAAATAAAATTTTCCATTCGTCGAATTTATTTTTTAATATTTTTTTTATTATATACCTACTTTATTATATTATATAAATTTTATTATATAAATATTTATCATAAATATTTCACTATATATTATATCTTTTAAAGCATAATTTTATTATATAAAATTTATATAGGTATACATTTATATAATATAATAAAGTAATAATAAAAAAGTATTAAAAAAAAATTTATATATTTATTTAATAATAATAAAATTTCCTGAAATTAGTTACATATTTTTTACACACACATATGTATGTATATTTTTATATTTATGCAGCAGAAAAAAACTGTTATGCCAGAGACAAAGCAATCTTTCCTTTTTCAGAACAAAACCGTCGGCCGGCCGTCAACGAATGGAATTCGATGCATTATGCGAAGCGCATAAACACGAGCGTGCAGTCACTGCGGATGGTATACAAATGAGACGGGGGTCTTCCAAGTGTCGACATACGGACAGCAGAGAATAGGGAAATATCGCCGATTTCTCCGCACGAATCTCTTCCACTTTGAATAGTTCCGCCGTATAATTTTCGTGCCCGAAGCCCCATTTCTATTTTAATAAAGCCGTTACGATTTTTTTTTTCTGGCGGACCGCGAGGCAGTAGTTTCCGTTCCGTTGCGCGTGAAATAAAATGCACAATAAAAGCTAAAAAGCTTGAATTTTGATGCGCTTTATTTTAATTAAATTCATCGCGCCGCTCGTCCTAATAATAAAAGTGACATTTATATTGCTGCGAAATAAAATAAAATGAAATCAAGATGCACAAATATATATGTAAATTGAATACTGGATTATTCGGAGTGTTTTGCTTTCTACCTTTTTATACACGAAATCTTTCCACACAATAGGTAGATAATAAAGATATGCAATAATATGTAATATTTTTTTTATGTTTAAAACTTAGTAAAAAATTTTGTTATAAATATTTTTTCATAAAATTGTATTTTAATAAATAATATTATTTTGCAATTAAAAAGAAAATAATTTTTTTATATTTATATATTTCTTTCAGCTTTTAATAAATAAATAAAAAAATGTACGACGGATCTCTTAAGCCCAGAAGATGAAAAACATCTCCATGTGTCTTCATCGATATTCTGAGGGTTAACTGTGTCGCAAATCTCCCCTCATTTTTCCTGTCTGCATTTTGATAACCTTGTCATCGGTCCATTATAATCGCAGATTAACGACCACGTCGCGCGAGATAAATCAAGTAAAATTGATCTGACACGCTAGTCTCATGCGCATAAGTCAGAAGAGTTTATCGGAGAAGAATGAAGGTGCAGAGACTCCTAAAATCCATGCCTTTTCTTACAAGCATATACGAAAAGATGTAATCCTATAACACTAACTCGAAAATAATATTCAAATACAGAGTAAACAATTACAAAGCAAATTATATATAGCAATGCATCGTCTTAGAAAAATAATAATTTACAATTACTTAGCATATTTTATACATGTCTTTGTGTTGCCTATCAAATATTGAATAAATATGAAAATATAAAGAAATAAAAATTCCACTATTAAATCTTCTTATTTAAAACGTCATGTTTAATTTTCATATAATATATAAATCTTAAGATACAGTACGGAGTAATTTTTTACGCGATCGCAAACGTAATTTTAGATGAATAGCACAACATCGAGAGCAAATAGTAATTTTGAAAAAGGCAGCGAAGAGATAAATGATCGAGCAGACTCTGCTGGATGCTCGCAGCTGGATTTTCCATGATTTATTCAGGTAAAAGCGTCGTATTATCGTCGAATGCCATTTCTTGTGAATAATCGAGGACTTACGGAAGCCGAAAGAGTGAATTTTGAATAGAACGCTGATACCTAAGTCCGCCTATAAAATAGTAAAGGACATTAATGGTAAGCTTCGGCATCAAGGGAATCGCAGATTAACGTGCACAAATACCAGCGAGGCTTTTAGATCCGCATTCAATCCGCTGGAAATGCACTTAATGATGTCTTAAAACGTCAACTTATGTACAACGCATGTTTACATGCGTTTTTTTATTTTACAAGAGTTAAATAAAAGAATTACGCTGTTTTTAATTACAAGATTCCCTGATCCTATTTTAAATATTTTTTTTTTATAAAAATCTTTTTTGATAATGACGATTTCCAAAATGCAATGATTTTCGATCGAGACGAGCGTGCATAAATAATTAATTACAGCGTTGACAGGAAATCGCACTGCGATTACATAAGCTCCGACATTTCCATTTTATCCTCTCGTACCTCATTTCCGGATTGAGAGATCCGTGCCACGGATGTGAGTTGAAACATTTCCTGCGGAGATTGAAACCGACAGTATAATTTCCAAAACTACAGTATAATTTTAATATCCTGATTTCCACAGACACCATAAAAGTCTTTATATTTAAAGGACACTAGCTTTAATTCTCTCAAAATTTTCAACTTCCTTAGAAGTCTCGATTTCAGGACTGAAAAAATAATATAATACTCAAAATAATTATTTCACATATTTTAATTAAAAGTGAATTAAATCGTTGACAGCGAATTTCTTTAATAAAAATTTATTTGAATTGAGAGATGAATTCGATCTCTCTGCTTTTTCGAAAACTAATCCGTGAGAAATTATACGATTTTGAAAAAAGCTCTAAATCTTCGCATCACGTACAAGTTTTCTTCTTAAGAAAAAAAAGAAGAAGAAACTGAGGAATCACGGCTTCTTCCTCCTTTTAATGACATCGATGTTTTTCGATAGCGACACGACTTCCTGTTCGACGACTTCCTTAGGTACCTACTTCGAAGTTCTTTCGCTGTCTGATCGTAAATACACCGAAGTTTCTCTCACTAATTTCTAATTGCAGAATTTAAAAAAATACACAGCTATTCAAAATTAATAGAAAAAATAAATTGTTAACAATATATTAAGTAAAAAATAAATATTGAAATAAAAGTTATATTTGAACGCCACAATTCTATCTGCATTATAATGGTTTTAATCAGAGATATCGAATATAATACGCTTAGAAATTGCTTCATGGAAAGTGTATTGTGTCATCACATGAACACGCAAGGTTATCAATCTATTAACGGCATACTTGCATTCATGTTTACGGTAAGTGCACATCATTAAGTCAGTATAGTATTATTAACTCACATTGTAATATGAAAATAAAAATTGATTGCATACTAAATACATTTTTATATAGCTTCACAAAATTATTTCTCCTCTCTAATGTGATCCTAAACGTTCCTGAGAAGTCTGTGATTTCCGTCCTGTTTTATCGACAAAATGTGAGATTAGATAAACTATAAATCTATTTATTGGCTATACGGATTGTTTTTTACCTGAAATTAGAACGCTTCGCCCTTTGTTAATATTAATACTTTAATTTGTACAAGAAAAAGATTTAGCAATCTGTATAGTCTCATATATCTTGGTTACAGAATTATGAGTTCTAAGCATTCATAATTCGGTGACTAAGATATATGAAACTATACAGATTGATAAATCTTTTTCCTGTACAAATTAAAGTATTAATATTAACAAAGAGCGAAGCGTTCTAATTTCAGGTAAAAAACAATTTTTATAGTTAATAAATATATTTATAATTTATCTAACTTCACATTTTGTCGATAAAACAGAAAGGAGACTTAGCTTAACTTAAGATCCCCCTTTAAAGAAGATTTATTATCGAATTTATTTCCTATATAAAACTGTCAATTTTTATTTTACGAGAAATGACAGGTGTATTCTATAGAAATATAGTATTCCATTAAGTCTCTGATTAGCATAAAATAATATTCACCGATTTATTCGATTCCTTTTCTGGCAGAAAGCGCCGTTAGGACTCGCGCTAACTGTATTCGCTTTTGATGAAAATTATTTAGGCGCCCACGGAGGGTCAAAGTGTCGCGTGCACCGCAAGTTCCTTTTTCGCATATCCGCGCGCGAATTTCCTCTCGGCTCTCCTCGGCTTCACGTGCATCAGAGCTCCGGTCAAATATTAGATAGCTCCTACTACCGACGGTGGAGTCTACGGTGGGTCAGTGACGTTATGTAAGGAGCGTGGGATCGCCCGGCGCCGTTACGGGAGCGCGTCATGCACCGACTCAGCACGCCACGTGTTTAGTATCGCAACGTCACACGTCAGATGCACCCCGAATTCCCTGGAATTGTGCGCATTGTTCTATCGTTTTTTTTTTTTTCGGAGTCTTTTTCTTGACAAAAATAAAATTTTAATAAAAAAAGCGAATCCTGAAATTTAATTTTAAATTAGATGGGTTTATAATATTTTAATATTAATAAACAAAATATAAAATTTAATATTCAATTTTTTTAATTTAAAAAAAATTTTCGGGATCTATACAATTTTTTCTTGACAAAAATAAAATTTTGATAAAAAAACGAATCCTGAAATTTAATTTTAAATTAGATATAGATTGAAAATATTTTAATATTAATAAACAAAATATAAAGTTCAATATTTAACTTAAAATATTTTAAGATTAAGTATAAAAAATATAATTATAATTATAAAATACAAAATAAACTTAATAGAAAATGTTTGATATTAAAGAGAAAAAATCTCGGTGCTGATGAATGATTGGAAATTCGAAAGATAGGAACTCCGCTACGTCTGTGGGACATTTTGTTACAATACGATTGCAGAATAGCATGTACGCCCAGGAAATGCACGACGTACTCCGAAACATGTTGAAATGCATGTGATACTCTCGTGTCGTGTGAGAAGTGGCACGAGATTTCACTGGTTACGCAGGGATAATGGGAAACTTATCTAAGTAAGTTGTCTTGTACTCAGGTAACTGTACATATAATTATAATTCGCAAGAGTGATGCGTATGTCAAAAAGTAATTCCACGTTATATATAAATATGTCAAACATTGTCAATATGCAAATAATGAATAAGTTATCACATAAATATTGATGTCGCGTGCTATCTTCTGCAATTTAAAATAGGTACATAGAAAATTTGTTTAAAGGAGAGAAGAGATAAAACTTTCTCTCTCTTTTTAAAATATTTAATTATTATATTTTTGATATGTATTTATTCGATTATAAAATTAATGTTAACACAAAAATTATTTATGAATTATTCAGCGGAATTTTTTTACTTATGTAACAATGTTACAAATAAGATTACGGAATTATGAATGCACTTTTTGTGTATTACATATGCTTGTTTAAAACATATAATTGTCCTGAGAAAAGAATTTACAGTGAAAGTATCGCAACTGCTATGTATGTGTATATTATCATTAACTAGAGAAATTAAATAAAACAAAACTAAGAGTTCCAGTTGAAATCGGAGAGTGGATAAGAAACTTTCTCTAACATATCAATGTTATAAGTCATTCTCGATATCACGGTCGGCGATATGAAAATTAATAGTCAAGTGAGAACTCGATCTCAAAATTCTTTACTCAATCGAAAAATAAATTCTATTCAAAAATTTTAAATTCTCGTGAGAAAATTATATATAATTTATCCTTTTTTTCGTTTTTGTTCTTTTTATTGGCTGATTGTAAGCTAAAATAATATGCTTTAAGAAAATTATATTTACTGAAAGAACATACTTATATTTACTGAACGGAGTGATTCATCTCTCGTATTATTTTCTATTACGTCTAGTTATTGTACGACAGTTTCTCTTATGCAATAGTCCCGTTATATTAGAGCGGGAGACAAAAACGTCACACGAGTCGAATAACTACTTTCGCGATTGCAAAATTATGTTAATTTTAATTTTTTTTTTCAAAATTAAAGTAACGCATACGAATAAAAAATTTCAATTTCTTAAACAGAGAAGAATTTATAATATAGAATACATATAAAAATTAAAGAAATATGCAGGAATGTA